GGGCGCTGGAGGGGATGGGGAAGGGGCCGCGCACTTGGCGCCTGCCGAGCCGCCCGCCCTTCCCGCGCTGTGTGCAGCCGTGTACTCTCTCCAGCCGATAGCGCTCGGGTCCCCAGGGGCTGAGGGTGGCCAGGTCGAGAAAAGTGCTTCTTGCTCGGTCGCAGATGGCTGGGGAAAGATGCGCAGCTGATGAGGGTGTTGGAAGGAGATGGAGTGGGAATGCACCCTCAGCAGCCAGCGTAAGGAGCATGTGCTCAGCGCCTGTGTGTGGAGCCCACAGCAGCCCAGCTTCTGAGATGCTGGCAGTGCTGAGTGTTGCTCATCCAGCCAGGCTATCTCCAGAAATGCTTGTGTGCTTATTAAGGCATCTATTGTGGCATTTAACCATGCTTAGCTGTGAGCTGAGCCTTCTCTGAGCACTAGTTTGGGTTGGCTAATGAGCTGTTTGACCTTAAATGGTTAGTGCGGTGCAGAGCTTCCCCAAAATTGCTCTGGCACTGGGCAGGGCTGCATTTCTGCTTTTGGAAGGATTGCGGAACAGAGCGTACTCATTTAAGGATGATGGGGGGGGGGGGATGTCCAGAAGCAGAAGAAATATGTTCTCTTTGTTGCTCTCAAATTTGGAGGGCCCTGTAGTCCTATCAGTTGCATTGCCAGGGCTATATCTAGCCATCAGACTCCTGAAGGAATGTCATCCCTGGTGCTGTTTTGTGGTGGGTTATCAGCTGTGTGAGTTGGACTGGGTATTGGGGCAAGCAGATGCTGCCAGGGATTGTTAAACTATCTGGGTTTAGAGCAGTTTCATGACACTTTTCTTGCCTTAAGTGCTAAGTTGTCTCTACTTGCTATTGTCTTCCTTCTGCAGCCTGGGCCAGGCTTCAGCTGGTGTAAATTGGTGCAATGCCATGTGTATACACAGGTCTCATCCCAGGTGTCCCACTCTGATGTGAAAGTATGAGGCAGCAAAACTCATCACTGTTAATTAGTTCATGGTATGTTTTCTTTCTTGGTGATGAAGACAAATTGCCTTTTCTAAGGCTGGATCCGTGAACAATTCTGAAATCTGCTCAGAATAAACCTCTAAAGAAAGCCCGGATACTGGCTGTACCAACCCCAAATTCTTGTAGGCGCTGGCAAACAACACTGCCGTAACTTTAGAATAAAGCAGAGTAAGCACCAGGCTCTAGTTTGAGGAGTCAAAATCTAGAGGGAAAGGGGGAAAAGCTGTGATTGAAGGAACTGCAGTAATCGGGAAAAGACTGGACATAGGCAGTTTTCTCAAATAAATGGTCTCGCCTCTGCAAAAACACTTTTTGTTTGGGTGCAGAAGCAGCAGGATGGCTTGTGGGAGCTGTAGGTCAAGCTTCGACCCTGAAGCTGTGGGTCTGGACAGTCCAGGGGCAGCTCCCCTGAAGATGGCTGTTCTGTGAGCTGCTTGTGGAAAACAGTGCCTGTTTCCCAGCCTCCACCTAGGGACCCATAGGTTGTTTCAAACAGGACCATCTCCAGCACCTTTAGCTTAGCAAAAAAGCTAGGTGTGAGGCTGGATGTGAATAATAAACTGCTCTTTCTCATAAATATACCCATAAATGTGTAAATGTATGTGTTAGTGGGAAGATGATGGGGCAGGTTAGCACAGCGAGCGCTGCTGGAGAGGTCTTACAGACCATCGTTACCAATTCCAAGGATGCCTCAATCTGGCAAAACGACACCTTTCCTGGGCACCTTGGGAAGGGAAAACTTAAAAGACAGAAGAGGAGAGAGCTGGACTAAGGTGGTCAGATCTGGAAAGAAGCAGCGCTTGGGTATCATAACACAGCTCCTGTACTGAGAGTGTTATGCAAGAAATACCTGTTTCAGAAAAAGCTTTCAATAAGCATTTATCCTTAAGAGCTTGTCAGAACAAGACCATATGCATATGCAGAGGCTTTTTCTGACCTAGGGAAGGAAATAGAGGACAAAAGCAGTGAAGGTTTCTGGTACGAGCTACTTAAATATACACTTTTGTCTTCAAATTCTGTAATTCCTGTGGCTGAAACCCATTTTGGTGCTATACTTCTCGCCTTGTTTATCATAACTACCATTTTAATATGTAGAAAGTTAAGTGCTCTGATGTCCAAGCTCTCCTCTAACACTGGCCTGAGAGGAGACCTGGCCTCTGCAAGCTGTGGGTTGCTCATGCTTAGGTTTATTGCAAAGCTCAGTGTATACAGGCAGCCCAAGAGCCCCTCTGCTGTGGTACTCACCTCTGCTTGCTACTGAGTGGCTCTCATTTGAATCAATTAAAGTCTTTCTACTTGTCTGTCTTATCTTGAACTTTCTGCTGAGCACATCTCCTGTAGGAACAGCCGCTTCTCCACCCTCAGGATGAAGGTTGTTCTCAGTTGTGGAGCTCAGCTGCTTTACACCAGCGAGGAGCCCAGGTTGCACTGTAACTGATGGCCAGATCAGATGAGCAGATGCTGGTCTGCTGCTCTGGCTGGCTTCAGGAGGAATTGTGTCTGAGGGCAGGATTTTGGCTGTGAGCCTTGAGGTGAAGAGCTGGGCTACAGATCTGGCCGCTTGCCTGGGTGGTTTCCAGGCAGACATTGCATTTTTATTGTCTTGGATATTCTGCTTTGGAGGTCAGTTGAGAAAGCAGAATGGGGTTGTCACTTGGCAAAGGTAGAAAAGTCGAGACAAAAAAAATAAGTGTGGTAATACACCAGGTATAATGCTGTCGGTCTAGCACCTGAAGCAGCATCTACCTGTGCTAACCCAGAGGTAATGGAAGGCAATTTCTACACAGCTCTCTTGTTTCCCAGGCTGTACTGACCTTACTCTTGGCAGATAGCCACTTCCCCTGCTCCAGCCCAACCACACCACCCATCACGGAGAGCAACGCAATCAGACGTGGAGGAGGAGCAATACCTCCCCACTGCTACGCAGCTGGGCTCAAGGGCACAGAGGACTACACAGAAACTCAGGCAAAGTGTGCAGGCTGGTCTTGCAGGGAGTAAGGATGGGCACTTCAGCCGTAGCACAGATTTGTCCCATAATGGGTGAAGAGAATAGCCTGGATGGGGAGAGGGTTCTTTAGACCAACTCCAAACTTCATCATTCCTGTGACTTGCTGAAATGTCGGGAAGATGCAGGGAGGTGGTATGGCTGGTTATGCAACAGTGCCAATGGGTCTTGGCACCTGGGAAAAGGGAAGGGGTTGCATTTTTGGCATCAAGGTGCCACATGAGTGGTTAGTCCTAGTGAAAGGAAAGAAAAGATTTTCTTGTCCCTTCTGCTGTTCCAGAAAAAAAGAGGAAAGGTGACTTCACTTTTTTGAGAAGAGCTTTATTTCTCATTGCCTGTAACAGGACATCTGGCAACAACTTTTACCCTCTCCAGGCTGGGAGTGCAGAATCACCCCCTGCACTTGGCTGGGTCCCTACAAGTCACTGGTGTGCACAGAATCCCAATTTTGGTTGCTTTCCCTTGTGATATCTCCAGCCCTGCTGCCCCCGGGAGCAACGGTGAGGGGTGTGTAGTGGGGACCTGAAAGGGAAAACTGATTTGCAGGGGACTTTGAGGTGTTGGGTTTGTGTTCCATTGCTCTGGTTTGGGCAGTGACAAGGTGCCATAAAGCCCTCGGGTAGTATATCAATTTGTAGTTTAAACATTTCGCTGGACACAACTCCTTTGGTACCAATGAAACAGCTACACTGAGAATCCCCTGTACACAGGTCATTATGTAGTTTTAAACCCCATGGTCTTCTCTGTAATCGACAAAAGTGCTAAAGCACTTTCTCCTGCAGGGACAAGTTGGTCCAGGTGTCCAGGCTACCAGTTTCTTCTACCATCACATCTGCATGTTAGGCTGCCAGCTGCATCTCTTCCTCTCCCCCATCTCAGGTTGAGAGTTAATACAGCTTTTCTGTCCTTACAGCCTGTGGCAGGGATGTTCAGAGGCGTTGGTTCTTCAGTCAGTGTCCCGCCTGGAGAAGAAGAGGCTGTGGGTTGGTAGGGTTGAGGTTGCTGTTGATTTTAAAGCCTTTCGAAGCGCAAAGGGGAGGAACAGCATTGAGAAGCCCCTTGGAGTGTGCTTGGATTTGAAGCTGCACCCTTTCCAGGGCTGGATGCAGAAAGCTATTGCTGGGAGACTGGAGGATGTGTGGTGGTGGTTTATGGCCAGATGGCATGGCTGGAAGAGGCCACCAGAGGCATGACAGGAGAGCTCAGAAGCCACCCTGCTGTTCAGAGTTGGCACTTCCCAATACACGAATGTGTCTGTGCTTCTGTATCCCTTGATGAGAACCAAATTCCCAACAAACATGAAGCAGCCGAAAGGGAGACAACTTCCTTTCCCAGCAT